AAATGTTGGACAAATCACAAAGCACAATTGATACTTAGAGCATGTGAACGATAATTGGCAACTTTGTTACTAACCAAAATTATGTGTATAATATAGTATACTAAACTTGAAATTGTTAAAAATCGTTATCAAATTATTGAATTAAGAAATTTAAAGAATTTTTTTATACATTTATTTAGGGATGAAGTAAGAGAGAAAATGAAGAGTCGTTATTTAAGTAATCCTGACTATAATTTTGAAAAAGTTAACCGAGCCAGTATGGCTTGCGGACCTCTCGTTAAATGGGCTACTGCGCAGGTGAATATTTAAAAGAAGATATTCGACATAGATTTCGTTTCTCAAAAAAGAAATCATTATTAAAAACATATGATTTAAAAATTTTAGATCGAATATGCAGACATGTTGAAACGAGTAGAACCTTTAAGAGATGAACTTCATTCGTTAGAGCGACAGGCTGAAACAAATAAGCAGAAGGGTGAAGAAGTAAAAAATTTGATTGCTCAGTTGGAACAAAGCATAGCGTCGTATAAGGAAGAATATGCTCAGCTTATTTCTCAGGCGCAAGCTATTAAAGCCGACTTAGAAAGCGTACAAGCTAAAGTAGATCGTTCTATCGCTTTATTAAAATCGTTAGTGATTGAAAGAGAACGTTGGGAAGCAACTAGCGAAACATTTAAGAGTCAAATGTCTACAATTATTGGAGATGTACTCTTGTCATCTGCTTTCCTAGCATATGCTGGATATTTTGATCAACATGTAAGTATTTAACTATTAAGTTATCGTATATGTTTTTCTATATAGAATACTGACATATATAACCCTTGATATATTTTAGTACCGACAAAATTTGTTCAGTACTTGGTGTCAACATTTACAACATGCAAACCTACAGTTCCGACCGGATATAGCGAGAACAGAATACCTCTCAAATCCTGATGAACGTTTAAGGTGGCAAGCTAATGCTTTACCAACGGATGATCTGTGTACTGAAAATGCCATTATGTTAAAGCGATTCAATAGATATCCATTAATTATCGATCCATCTGGACAAGCAACAGAATTTATAATGAACGAATTTAAAGATCGAAAGATTACGAAAACAAGTTTCTTGGATGACTCGTTTAGAAAGAATTTAGAGAGTGCATTACGCTTTGGTAATCCTTTGTTAGTACAGGATGTCGAAAATTATGATCCTATACTAAATCCTGTTCTAAATAGAGAATTAAGAAGAACAGGTGGGCGTGTATTAATCACCCTTGGGGATCAAGATATCGATCTTTCACCATCTTTCGTAATCTTTTTATCAACGAGAGACCCAACTGTAGAATTTCCACCTGACATTTGTTCTCGTGTTACCTTTGTAAACTTCACCGTTACTAGAAGTTCGTTGCAAAGTCAGTGCTTAAATCAAGTTTTGAAAGCCGAACGTCCGGACATTGATGAGAAGAGATCTGATTTATTAAAATTACAAGGTGAATTCCATTTGCGGCTGAGGCAGCTTGAGAAATCTTTATTGCAAGCATTGAACGATGCTAAAGGAAAAATCCTTGATGATGATTCTGTGATAACTACCCTTGAAACTTTGAAACAGGAAGCGGCTGATATTAGTAAAAAAGTCGAAGAGACAGATAAAGTAATAGCAGAAATTGAAACAGTTTCTCAACAGTACATGCCTTTGTCTCAAGCTTGTTCAAATATGTATTTCACGATGGACAGTTTGAATCAAGTGCACTTCTTATACCAATATTCTTTGAAAATGTTCTTAGATGTCTTCACATCTGTTTTATCTCAAAATCCAAGATTGTGTAATATATCAGATTATACACAAAGACTATCGGTTATTACAAGCGATTTATTTTCTGCTTGTTACGAACGCGTTGCTCGCGGAATGTTGCATACGGATAGATTAACATTTGCATTGTTATTATGTAGAATTCATCTGAAAGGTATTGCCACAGAATCCACTTACGATAGTGAATTTACATTTTTCTTACGTGGAAAAGAAGGTGTATTAAATATACGAGATCCTATAATGCCTAATTTAAGTTCAGAACAACAAGAAGCTATGATGCGCTTGAGTCTTAGACTACCAGCTTTTAAAAAATTGCGCGAGAAAATTCAAGAAAATGGAGAATTCAATACGTGGTTACAATCACCAACGCCTGAGACGTGTGTGCCGAAGCTTTGGGACGAAGAAAAGCCATTGACGCCAACTGGAACAGCTATGCATCAATTATTGATAATTCAAGCATTCCGACCAGATCGTGTGATAGCTGCTGCGTCTTTAGTAGTAACTTCCGCTCTGGGAGAATCATTCATGGCAGCTGCAGAAGTAGAACTTGATTTTGCTTCTGTAGTTGAGAATGAATTGAAAGCTAATGTACCTGCATTGCTTTGTTCAGTACCAGGTTTCGATGCCTCTGGCCGAGTGGATGATTTAGCAGCTGAATCAGGCAAACAAATAGCTAGTATCGCAATTGGATCTGCAGAAGGATTTAATCAAGCAGATAGAGCGATAAACATGGCTGTTAAAGCTGGTAGATGGGTATTATTGAAAAATGTTCATTTAGCACCACAGTGGTTAGTACAACTTGAAAAGAAATTGCACAGTTTACAACCACATGCCAGTTTTAGATTATTCTTAACCATGGAGATCAATCCAAAAGTACCAGTTAATTTACTTAGAGCTGGCAGAATATTTGTCTTCGAACCACCTCCTGGAATTAGAGCAAATCTATTACGAACTTTCAGTACAGTACCAGCATCAAGAATGATGAAAGTACCTAACGAAAGAGCCCGTCTTTATTTCTTACTAGCATGGTTCCATGCTATCGTTCAAGAACGTCTTCGTTATGCCCCGTTAGGATGGGCTAAACATTACGAATTCAATGAGAGCGACCTACGAGTAGCTTGTGACACTCTGGATACATGGATAGAGGCTACTGCTATGGGCAGAACTAACTTACCACCGGAGAAAGTACCTTGGGACGCTCTAGTGACACTGCTATCTCAATGCATATACGGTGGTAAAATTGATAACGATTTTGACCAACGTCTTCTTGCATCGTTCCTTCGGAAACTTTTCACTCCGCGATCCTTTGAAGCCGATTTTGCGCTCGTTGCTAACATTGACGGTTTGCAAGGAGGTCAACGACATATTACTATGCCAGATGGTACCAGACGTGATCATTTCCTTAAATGGATTGAATCATTATCTGATAGGCAAACGCCCTCGTGGCTTGGGTTACCAAATAATGCGGAAAAAGTACTGCTCACGACCAGAGGCACAGACTTGGTATCTAAATTATTAAAAATGCAACAATTAGAAGACGAAGATGAATTAGCGTATTCTAACGAAGAATCGTTAGATACACCTAGAGAAGCGGAAGCTGACGGCCGACCATCATGGATGAGAACGTTACACAATTCAGCATCAACATGGTTACAATTACTTCCAAAAAATTTACCGACACTGAAAAGAACTGTAGAAAATATAAAGGATCCTCTCTACAGGTATTTTGAAAGAGAGGTTAATAGCGGTGCTAAATTGCTGCAAGATGTGATCCATGATTTAGAAGACGTTGTTTTAATCTGTCAGGTATTTTTTTAATTTACATTGATATTGTTGTTAGGAAAGAGCGATCTCTTGACACTCAATACTTTATTTTTAATAAGTATTACATCCAATATACGTATATTATCATTGAGGATCATACAGCAACATTTGATATCATTTGATTTAAGAAGCACATTAAACATGATAGCTTTCATTTGAAAATGAAACATTAAATTTCCATGAAATATATTCTTCTAAAGTAAACAGTTAAAAAATTGAGAACTTTTAGTATGATCTACTAAATATAAATGTTGTGTTTTCTTTATAGGGTAAAAAGAAGCAAACCAACTATCACAGAACTATGTTGTCAGAATTAGTGAAAGGCATTCTACCAGGTGGTTGGAGACGATACACGGTACCAAGAGGATGCACAGTAATACAATGGATAACAGACTTTAGTCATAGAGTATCACAATTGCAAGAAGTTTCACGATTAGTATCTCAAGGCGGAGCTAAAGAAATTAAGGTTTGTTTAATTAAACTTATTTACGTAGTTAATTATTCACATTTCCTATAACCATATTTCTTTTAGAGTTTCCCTGTTTGGCTTGGTGGATTATTGAATCCCGAAGCATATATTACAGCAACGAGACAGTGCATAGCGCAAGCAAACAGTTGGTCACTGGAAGAACTGCAACTCGACGTAACTATAGGAGACAGTGATAATATTGCAACGGACGATTGTTCGTTTGCTGTAACCGGTCTTAAATTGCAAGGAGCGCAATGTAAAGATAATCAGTTGTATTTGACTTCAACTATAATGACCGATTTACCAGTTACCATGTTGAGGTGGATACGATCTACCACCGATGATGTACGAAAGGGCAAATTGTCTTTACCGGTTTATCTTAACAGCACACGTACTGAATTATTATTTACCGTTGATTTAAACATTGCTCCTAGTCAAGATCCTCACAGCTTTTATGAGAGGGGAGTCGCTGTTCTTACATCTACTGCTTTGAATTAATACTTATAAAATTAGCAAACTACGATATTTAACAAATAATATAACGATAAAGTCATAAAGGAATGGGCAAACGAACATTTCAGAAATGAAGTATTAAAGAACCTCCACATATATTGTACCGTTTGCTCGAGATGTTTATTAATCTGTTCATCTTTAATTATTTATAAAGTATTAAATATTACGAGATCCAATTAGCTAGTATAGTATTCTGTCAATGTCACAGTCATCAGTAAAAAAGTTTGCCCGTTTCTTCTAATATACTAATTGAATACATAGCAAAGACTATTATTTATCGCTTCAAAACGATTCTTAGCACAATATTTTGTAAACGTGCATTAAAATGAATCATTTTCTTGATAATTAACATAATTGAGAAAGATGTAAGACATCCGTTTTAGAATTGATGTAATAACGAGATTGTAATATATATAGTTTATTTAGTTTTGTATACGTTTAAAACTCAAAGACCGCTTTCTGTAACAAAGTTACATTGTGTTTGCTTAAGTGTAAGTACGAATGTATTGTAGAATCTATATTATTTGAATGCTATCTAATAAAAAACTTAATGTACGATTTACAAGAGTTATTAAAAAAGTAAAATGAGTATCGTTAAAATGCTTTGTACTTTGTTGCTTTGATCAATTATATTAATATCTATTTCTGCAATTATGCAACATTTAAAGTATGAACGTTGTTTAAATCTTATCATTATTAAATTAGATGTCATAGAAGCACTATAAATTTAAAAAAGAACATAAAAATTTTATTATGGTCCATAATATCAGATATAGCAATTACACGTATGAAATATTAGAATATTTGTACGGTAAAATACACACACACACACACATATATATATGTATATATATACATATATATATATGCTACATAATTATGTAAATAATATTGGAGTTCTCCGCTCTTTTTTATCCAATTAGTTCAATGATTATTCATTTTATGTATATACTCTCTGATAAATAATTTCAATTGCAGTACATGTTTTCTCCACGATTTTTTTGCAATATTTTAAAATAAAAGAATACGTCGTATATATTTTTTAACCATTGCACAAAAACTAATACATAGGCTTTGATGAATGTTGGACGGATTATATTATTGTAACATTAAACAACCATCATGGTTAATGAAGAAAATGCTTAATAAGCGAATTTATGATTCGTTAAAATAGTATGTACACTAATATCATAAAACTACTAAAATGTTACAGTAGTATATATTACATAAATATTTTAGTTACACAGTCTCGATTGAAAATGCCAAAATGCTAAAATAGACTGATTGAAAGCAAACTGAACCTCAATGAAGTTCAACATATACAATATAAAATCGATGTCTATTGTAGTAAGTAACAAAACGAGTTTACTATATGTTTCACTGCTTATAGCTATCCAATTTTCATTTGCGCGTTATACAATTGTCACGGTAATTAAAGTGATGAGATTATGCACTTATTTGTCAAGTGTGACAAGATTAGAAAATACTGAATTCAGTCTGAGAGATAAAATTGTTTTTTCGATCATTGATCGATGAAATCATCAGCAACTTGTTTATCTTTCGTAGAATAGCTTGTGAAAATGAATATTGAATACAAGTTAAACAAGGAATAAATCACCGTAACACTATGCAGCAGAAATTAAATAACCATCAGATTATTCTTCTTATATGCTCAAAAGAAAGATATAGTCTATATCACAGAAACGGAATCATCCGTTTCTTCGGCAGTCTTTTTATCGTCGCTATTACTGTTAGCCTGTTCATTAGAGACTAGAGACACGTCCTTTGGAAGGACCAAGGATTCTTCACCGATCGGCGCTGCAGCCTCGACTAGATTTTCAACGGACGCTGCTACCGTTGATTCGTCGTGGCAGAAACTCCTACGCAGGGACTGTTGAGTTCGCGTAGTCCCTCTCCTAATGCTACTACGAAGTAAATTAGCCACATCGGCCGCAGTTAAATTCGAACTGCTCGATGAAGTCATACAAGGTCGACGAGGTCTTTCGAGCGTCGAATGCGTTCTTTCTATCGAGCGTTCTACCACACCAATTCTTGTTGATCTATCTATCGTATTAGGTCTATGTCTTTCGGTAGCATTACTTTGAATTGTGTTTGAATTGATGTTTTCGTTTCTTGCTTCAGTTATATGAATTGTTACATCTTGGGTTTGCCTACTTTGATTCATTTCTACAAGTACAGTGGCGTAATCAGGAGGTGGAGGTTGTAGCGCCGGTCTCTGTCTCGGAGTACTGCTCTCACCGAGCACGTTCGCTATTCGACGTACACTTCTTCGAAAACTTTGCCGCAACATCTTTGCTATTCTCGCTCCCGTTGCTGTAGTGTAACTCGGAGGAGGTGTATATTTTGGCGGTGGATCTTCAAATGGTACTTCTGTCGTTGTATGTACGATACCATTGCCGTGAATGCTGGTACTCATATCGTTTCCAGTATGCGTTTGCGCATCTCGTGGGTCATCAGGCTCCAAGGATGGTCGATACAATAATTGAATTCTCTGTGAAATTAAAATTTTTTGAAAATCACATATATTAATTATAAATAAGTTCAAAATAAAAATTTCTTTCTATGTATAAAAACAGTGGATGTAAGACATATACACGATTAGAAAACTTACACCATTACATTGTTCACAGTGATTTATATTAACTTCCACTTGATTGTTCTAATGTTAGCACAAACAAAAATTGATGTCAAATGTATATTAGTATGTTAAAATGGAAAGTAAAAAATATTATTTAATAATTATTATACTAGTTTGTTAAAATTGTATCGAATTCTCACATCAAAAATATCGGGTGGACCGTTGTTCAAGTATCGACATGTTTGTATAATCGCCACTGCCGGTATCGTCAATATTGGTACTAATTGAATTGTAGCTCCGAGTTGTTTTGCCCAAACTGTCCAGTACTCTCTAGCGGTACGTCGGTAAGAATAAAGTTCTCGAAATCCAGCATTTTTAAATGCTGTAATGCTAAGTACCTATTGGATTTAAATCAATAACTTGCTTACGATATTACTACCTTTTTTTTAAGGTATAAATATTTTGATAGAAACATACCATAAGAATAACAGGCAGTATAACGTTCCACGTGAATGAGAGAAGAGGACCAGCCCAGTGTCTGAGACATCGACCAGTTGGAGGAAACAACTCGGCTACTACCGCTTCACCACTATGTGGACGTCCGCGCACTGCGAATACAGCACCAACTTGCACCAAGTATAAGATCATTATCCACCATGTACCACCAATTGTGTAGTCTAGATAATATACGACGTGTATGCCCAACTATAAACAAATGATTAAATTCCTATAAGACATACAAAATCTACTTTTACTGTTGTTTAAGGATAACTACATTGTAAAAGTCATAGATACGCGCATTTTCTTCAATATTTATATTAACAATTTGCTTTAATATTGCGGCTATTTATGACGTTAGAGATGGCGTAGAGATACTAGTTTTTATATCTTTCACTTGAATATCTAAAAACAATGCATTGTCTTTAACATATCCAGAATATCGAGTTAAAGTTGTATGCGGGATAAACATATAGATTCCAGCTTCTTTATTCATGTCTTCAGAATTCGATTTATCTTGCCCTATAGCTTTAACAATTTTTTTTATATCGTTTGCTGGATTTTCTTGATTTCTCAATGTAGCTGTTGCTCTAAGGACACAAGGCCAATCCAACAATGGATCCCATTTTCCGGTTTCAACTTGTAGGCATCCGATAATATGTCGATCTTTCCACTGTCCTATACCATTTAGAAATAGCTTCATTCTCAAAGTATATCCATATTCTTTATTTAAAAATTTTGGACTATAAAGAACGCAGTCATTTTCTTTTGCTTCGGTCATTTTTTCTTTATAACGGTCAATTCTCCATAAAAGACGACCATTAGTTGAATATTGTTCAAAACATTCCTGTTTACATGGACACTCGACGAATTCCGGAATATTTAATTTTGAATTATCCGTAATCAATTCCTCCAGATACTTTAGATTTTCTTTCATTTGAAACTTCAACTCTTTAATATTACTTTTCTGGCTAGTTGAGGTTTCTGATTGCCGCTCTATTTCTTCTTCTAAATTTTTTATTTTCTCAATTATATATTTTTGTTGATCCACTAATTCCTTCGAATTCTTACACCTCATTTCTAATTCTAATTTAAGATCGTGAATTGATTGCTGTTGTTCTTGCCATATGTTATTTATGTGTACGTTCTCTTTTGTTACGAAAGCTTTTAGATCATTTAATTCTATGTACCAATCACCAAGTACTTTATTATGCTTACTTTGTTCATTAGTCAACTCACTGTGTAAAAGTTTCAGTTGTTCCGAGATACGTTGAAAACTTAAGCTGGTGCGCTGTTCCATGTTGTCGCTAGTTACTTCTAAATCATTTAATCTTTGATTTAACGTTGTATTATATTGATAACATACTTTTGTCGTTTCCGCAACTTGAAACCGGAAGGAATTAATCAATTCTTGTTGAGAGTTCAATAACTTTAAACATTGAGACATATTATCCTGGAGAATTTTGCGTTCTTTTTCTTCATGGTTTATTACAGAACGAAGCAATCTTAGAGCAGAAAACACTTTACTTCTCCATAAAGAATCTTGAACTTCCTTCATTTCATTATTCTCTTTCGTAAAATTTCTGCATGTTTTTCGATGATCTTCCATATTTTTTCGAGGTACGTAAACTCCACATTTGAAAGAACATTCTTCTAAAACCGATCCGCAATGTTTCACGTGATCGTATAGATATTTCTCTTCGAAAAAATCGTTACAAAAGTAACAAGGTACGCTCCGCCGTACTATAGAATTGACTCGATTACTCATTTTCTGAAACGTACGGTGACTCCAACGATACTGATGAAATACTTTAATCATTTCAGTGCTTGGAGTGATAATCGTTATCTGTATAAATAGAATATTACATGGTCTGTCTGATAAGAAGAGAATTTTAAATCTTCTTGAACGGTTGAACAGAACAGCGATTTAATTTACTTTTAGTAGTGACGATATAATCATACATTAACGAATATTATTTTATTGAAATTTACTCCAATTTCCAGTTCGAAATATTGCACAAATATATTGGAAAATTAAAAATTACCAAGTAAATGTAAATAATTATATTTACCTCGGTAGCCATGGGTAAGCCTAGTATATAAGCACAAGCACAACTGAAGAATGTAATAGTAGTTTCCCATAACTTCATCATTTTTGCATTAATTGCCATAATACCAGTTATTACACAATGCCATATTGCCAGCTATAATAACGAAACTTTTGTATCTTCGATTTTGGTTTATCATATATTTTGAATCGCATACCTGTTGAGCTATTCCAAATAGGATAAGAATAAAATAGAAAAGAACTGCCCAGAATGGTGACACTTGTTCAGTGCCTAGTAACGCTAACGTTGCAGGAACCAATTCAGTCGAAAATCTCAAGGCTTGATAACCAGATTCAACACTAAAATCCGCACCGGGGCGAGTTACACGTTCTCCAACAATAAACGACGCATGTGCCATAAATCTTTCTGGTGTACTGCTATATCCCGGTGGTGCCGGCTGGTTCACAGGTCGCATAAACATATACGACGATATTCTTTCTGAAACAGAAATTTATTACGCTTAAATTTTGAGATCCTCATTTGAGTTGATAATGAGCTGTTGTTTGCTTACCAAATGAGCTAGGTATGTAAATATATCCATGATGTCGCAAAACTTGCACGCAAGTATTTGCCAGAAAAGCTGCGAGAAGTAGAACTGCGAGAGTTAACACGATCACTAGACTCGTGTCTCGTTGTAATAGATGTTTGTGCTTATTATGAGCAGCTATCTAGAAGAACAATAACATCCTCAAGTAAAGATTCCATTAGTCAAATGCATCACAGTACGTCGTAATTACCTGCATAGCAGCTGCACCAAGTAATCCCCAAGTGAGGAAAACCTCGATGGATGCTGCTACCCACGATTTGCCATTAATGAAAAACTCAGTCCACACAGTGGCAGGAAAAAGTTGATGTACAGAGCCTGGTGGCGTGAGGCCAAGTAATTTCGTACAAAGAACTAATGTACCAAATACAGGCACCAACGTAAAAACATATACTACTTTGCCATAAGATCTCAGACCTGAAACAATTATTAAATATTAGAAGAAAACAATAATGAAAACAGATATGTATATCGTTTAATAAAATCATGAAATACCTTTGCTTAATGATACGAACACGATCATCCATACAACAGCTAAATTGAAAGCCACTTGAAACTTTAACGTTACGACACCGGGATCTGATTCGTTTAAATGATTTCTTTGCAAGACAACTCCGCTAAAATAATCTGGTACTGTCTCATATAATTTATGCAAATTACTATTATTCTGTGTAGGTTTATCTTCTCTGTACAAGGAAAACGGTTCTGCCCATCGGTACTTATCCTGCTTCGTTATAAATGAATCTCTAGAAAAGATTATAAAAATATTCTCTCATTATTATTGGTCTTTCTTAAAATGAAAAATTTATCGTAAGAAATTTGATCAGGAAATTTATCAAAATTATGAATAAATCAAAAACAGGAAACAAATCAACACACCTAAAGTAGACGAACATCCAGGACACACCAACGATACTGTAGATACCGATGAATGCTTGTGCAATTAGAAGAGCTATACCAACGCCCTGAAAGAGGGGTGAAATCTTCCACATATCCACGGATCCAGCCGCCAATCTTTGACCGAGACACACGTGCAACGTCAAAAGTGGAATACCCAATACCAAAGATAAAATCAGGAACTGTACAATGAAACTTGCTGAAAGAAAAAGACAATTAAAGATGCGATGATAATGGATAAAATTGAGTAGCAGTTTACACAAGTATTTATGTAATAGCAATTTCTACACTCACCTCCAAATTGTACACTAAGAATAGAAAATCTACTTATATTAAAAAGACCAAGGGTGCAACTAAGACACGCCAAGGCTGGACTAAGAGCATGTGGCCATTTTCCCAATGGATTAGCATCCTCGTCCTCATCCTCTCCTCTATCCTCATCCCTATCAACGTCTCTCTGTCTGTCACATATTCTAAACAAACACATTGTTCCGTAAAAAAAAAAATGAAATCAAAAGAGAACAAGAAAGTAACCAATACTATTGCATCCGTTTAACTTCCTCCGTATATAATAAACAAAATATTAAAAAGGTAACAAATTAATTAAAGAATTACAGCGCATCGCCTGAGAGGTAGATAGTTAAACGAAATAGTATACTGCAGTAATGGTTACAATGTTAAATATACCACAGCATGGCTGACAGCTGCTGATAAGAGTATGTAAAACAATCATGTTAAAGGTCGTATCGATTTGTCGTAAAACTGGGTCGAACGTAATTGTATCTTATTTGTCGCTCTTGCCGAAGAAAATTCACGGTCGATCGAGACTGCGTTGCGACAAATGAAAGCCTATATTAGGATTTAATCGTGAGACATTGAATACGAGATTTATATTACAGAGTATTTTGCATTCGTATACTGTCACTTTTAAACCTTATATACCGTAATGTTAACTGTACTTCTATATCATTTGGCCATTGTACAATAAACTGTGAAATACGGGTACGAGTTAAGCGTAGAGAAGAAAAGAAGAAAATAAAGAAACAACAATTTATAATAAGTAGGAGCTACGATTGTTGCCAGCATCGATAAAAGATCGAGAATCATCAATGTACCGTTATCACGGAATAGAGAGATGAATACTTAAAAGAAACCGAACATTCCTACTGGGTTTCGACTTAAAGACACAACTCGACCTTGTTTTGCGTGAGGAATACGAAGGAGTTAGTATGTCTGTGCCACCTTCATTGCACCAATCTCGCAATTCTCCTGACGTTTTAGACGACTATTCGTGAATTATTCATATACGTATGAATACGAAGATTGTCTCGATTCTGGTTAACGAATGCTTATTACCACGTTGTCTTGTCGTTCGTTCGATCAAGATTGAAACTCCTTTCAATACCAATCGATCGTTTTCGACCATTCTTACGTTCGTCTAAAACGAATATAAAATTTTTATAATTGTTCCATAAGCGACAAAATAGCCCGTTCCGATTACTATTCTGTAAATTATTAACGTTAAAGGCGTAGAAATACATTTAGACTGACTTTAACATTATATAACTGATCGCTTTGAACGCTGAAAATTTGAAAACTAGTCACGAACTTTCGAATCCTGAAACTCTAGTGGTAGAGAAAAGCAAGGTTAAAATGTTCTATCGATTAATCAATAAACTGACCACTTCTAATGACCACGATATCTTTAGTGGCGTGCCCAAATAATATAGAAGATTAGAAACACGCAAACAGTAGCTTGGGCACGATCATTGCGTCAGACTAAATTTACCACTCGATGGAAATAGCGCAAAATTGTGTTTCTTTGACTATAAAAATTCCAGAGAAAAACAATGTTAGAATTAGATATTTGTGCTTCTAACGATTGTTGCCAATCGCGTATATTACAGCGTACGTACAATGAAATCGTGGGAACGACGGAGATCTTGTGCTCTGAGTAAGCTTTCAGCGTAATACGTACACTAATAGTGTATACTATATTGCGGATACCCGTATTATTAAACCTTCCCGACAAAAACGGTTAGTGAAACACGTTTAGCTTCGGCAAATAGCTGCATCAAGTACGTAGGATAGTAATAGTATGTTTCAAAACGATTCGTAATTGATCAGTGACAAACTTGATACTGAACTAATATTATTATTATTATTATACGAGTCGTTTTCTTTTGAAACGATCGCTGTCTTTCCATCTAAATGTTTTTCTCTAAAAGCTAATTATGATCAGTTTCGGAGCCTTGATAATAAAACTGTCTAGCTTCAGGGACTTAACTTGATTTCTCAAGGGAAACAACTCATCGACGATCGGTACAATTCCTCTTGGCTCAATCTATAAAAGGTTAAATTTGTCACTGAAGCAAATTAAATATCGTTACGTTGGTTAGATATAATTTATAACTTAAAAGTTGCTAGGTAACACCATCGTAAAGATCGTCGAACGACTGTTTATCTACGTAATTAATCGTAACAAATCGGTATAAGAAACTCTTACAATCGTAGAATATACCTGATACGATGTCTACGTTGACTACAGTAAAAGTATTGGCGACAAATCGTTGGATCGTGGTTCATCATGAATACATGTTACGCCAATGATGTCGATGACCGTTCGTTTCCACGGAGTTGAGATCGATTTTCCTCTTCGCTCAGTCGCTTTTATTATTCTATCCTCTTTCTTCAAACGCCGTTCTACCAGTAACGATTAATACATATAATGAAACTAAGTTTCATGACAAATTTTCGATCGACCGATTTCCCAAGATTAACAAATTTCGAAGAAATAATTACACGATATCAGAAAATCGTGTATTAAAATTCACAGTCGTTCAAGGTTTCAACGCTCTGTATTTAACGAGGCAAGAACAATCGAATTTCAAAACTGTGCCTTCTCGGCGTCACGGGGTCTCGCTTTTGAGAAACGATTTTACGGTTTCGTTCGTCTTCTACTATTCTCTCGATGTCAAGATAGTTTGTTGGCCTGTTTTCACATTCACGCAAAGCACCGTGTTTGTTCCTCTATTTTTTTCCAGTTTGTGCGTTCCTTTGTGTTCGTAAGATATTCTTCACGCACCGTTGTTTTATGTTCGAAACGTTTGGTCAGTGATTCAGTAATATTAATCGTGTCATGCGGTATGCAATTTATTTAATCGGCGAAGTGTAAGGTGAAACGTATTCGTTTCGCAAAGTATTCTCCAAATATTTTCAACTTCGCTTTGTAGATCAGGCGTTCTGACGTAATCGATTGATATTATGTTTTAAACGCACTGCACTGCTGTTGATTTTACGCGCGATAATCGATCAAAGAACCATGTTGATTTTCGATCGTTCGTTTCTTTTAACGAGAATGCCAAAAGTTTTCGATCCATCTATCGCAAAGTTGCAGGTGTAATAGCGCCGCTGATTCAAATCACTTTCGTTTGATCGTCCCTTCGGGTAAAAAATGACCGGAGTCTCTTAAAAAGAGCAACAGATCTCGTCTATTACAGAATTTTTGTATTCGAAAAGTTTACCGAGGCATATGGCTTCTTGGTACGACGATCGATTCTACAACTAAGGCAACCAGCGCTTACAGGGATTTGCCAACTAATACGACGCTTCGGGCAAAACCCTTGAAAGATATAGTCATCGTTTCGTATATGTTCATTGATATCCTTCGTTCCTCTGAATTTCTCCACGAGGCTATGTATATACAAAAACAACATTCGTATTAATTATCACAGGTATGACATCATAGGACATTTTTTCAAAATAAAATTCTTTTGCTGTGATTAACGCACAGTTTAGAAAATCGCAAAAAATTTGTATCTCTGTAGAAACATCCTTTGATTTTTGATACGAATACGAAATGGAATGTAGTTAGTCGATAGCGTTTCGTACATATACCACGGCATTCGGAGTAAACTTGTCTCTTTGTGCGAATTATCGATCAGTAGTAAAACGCCGCGAAAGAAGCAATGCAACATCGACATTTATTATCGTCGTTACTTTTAATTTCTCCAATCTCTTTCGTTTTTAAGATACGCATGAAGGTAAGGTGCGCAAGGTAAAAAGCGTTCGAAAGAAATTACCGACACCGCGTAACAGTACACAAAACTGATGCACAAACAACCGATATAGGAACCAGTTAGTACGACGTCGTTGTCTTTGATGAACACTGAGGAACAAATTGTCGCATTACCGCGACCAAACTTCCAAAGATTCCACGATCATTCGTGCTTCCAACGACTTGCTATACTGAATACGCTATTCCCAGTGAACCGTATGTATGTACGTGGGATCCCTCCGAAGCCAATGTATAACTGTACTCGGTTAGAGTCACGTGACGAACAAGGTAGATGAACGCACGTGCATATTTACGCTTGCGTGCTTGATCATTCGTCAAAATAATCAAAATTACGATCGATCGTCGTCAATCGCTTATTGGCATTTAACACGTCGATATTCGTCTCCCATAAAGAGGAAAACCTTTACAAGCAGAAATCTTCAACTTTGAGCACGAAACACGCTTATATACTGATCGTTACATACATGTCGTTGAATATAAATAGGTAGAGAACAACTCGCGATACGGATGATCATTATATGTAGTTACTAATAGATTAACTCTTTCGTTCCACGTAACTTCGATCGTCCTACTCCATCGAATAACGATATCCTATTTTATTGAACGATCGTTCGATGGAATTCTCAGGTGTCACACGCAATAGGATCTAAACAATCGAAATTACATTATTTTTTCAAGAAAGCGTCGAATTGTTAGAACTATGGGAAAACAATCGCCGATAAAATACGACCGTTCCCGTTAAAAGAACATTTCACAATTGACATTCGCAAGTCAAGTTTCGGCCAGTATTTCACATTCATTGTATGTATGTATCCTACCAGGCACGTACGCAATTGCATTCAACATAGTACAAACAATGACAATGAGTAGGAAGGTGAACCGAAGCGAAAGAAGTCACGCACTGTGGCTACTACATGACGCGGTAGAGAAATGAAAAAAAGAGAGCGGAGAAAGAGAAAAGGAAGGTTACGTGTTTAGTCTGATAACGTTATCTTTTTCCAGCACGAGAATGTCGTGAAAAGAACTACATTGTATTCGAACTATCGTAGAACTTCCAGCTTGTAATTGTCTAGCATCGTTTCAAAATCATGCGTATATTCTAACCGTATTTCTTCTAACTTTCTCCGAATACTCCATGCTACAGTTATCGCATGATAAATGTAACAAGTACGTGTTTGTTCTCTTATTTATTGTTCTAATTAGCTGTTTCGATAGTTTTACCTTCGAAAAAACAAGTTTTTCAAACTTCTCAAAGAAATGAAAGATACAAAGCAAACACGAGGGAAACCGGTTACCCATACGCTCGTTAACCGCATCTAAGAAAAAGGTAAGTCTTTCTGATTTCTACGACAGATATCATAAAAAGGCCAACTAATTTTATATATATATCGAATCTTCCCATTATGATAAAAAGTTTCATACGTTCTTTCTTCGTTCTCTGACTTTTGCGTTCGTCGCGAAGATACGAAATGTCTCCGATAGTAGTTGACACCGTTGTTACGTACATGTACTTGATGTCTGTTTGTCAAGTATATTTGTACAAACACCTCACTTGGGAAGTAATCAATAAGAGGAGATATCGGTGGTATACGTGCAGGTTAATGTAATATCCAAGCGGAACACACATCCTTTTGTTTCTATAAATCTATGAAACTTTTGTTATATAATCAGCTATAATAATAATTAATAATCATACCGTGTTTAATCTTTCTTTTCGTGCGTCTTAATAATCAGATCTCGGATGAGTTTAACGAAACCAGTCAGTTATAAAATTTTAAGGAAAATAACACAATTATAGCACCGATATACCGTTAAGGGAACTACACCAGGCAGTACCGTTGACCTGGAGCTGCGATATTCCTATGCTACCACTGACCCAAAAACAACATTCATTGTTTAAGAATCAATAGAATTACACGTAACACTCTGCATTAGCACGCAAGAATGTACGTATTTACACTCTACCGAATGCATTAATGTCCCTTGAATCTTATTCTCCAAATAATTCGTACATTTAAATATATTTTGAACAGGTGGCGAAAGCCCTCGTTAAGAATCGGTAAAATGTGATTAATATAGAAAGGCGAGGATGTAAAGATAAATACATCGCGTGTCGCCGTAAACGAAATAAATATCGTTTAAAATAAATATGCTAGTAAGTGGAATATTAATGGAAGAGGTATTTATTTAAGAGCATCACGAACAGTCACGGTCCAGAAATCATTCGTTCCTTTGAACCCTCTCGATTCTTAATTTATTAAGTCCATAAATGAAATTAATAAACCAACAGGAAATATGCTTCAGTGACGGAAAAATCGCATCGTGAACTTTGGTAAGTCCGTTAAAACAACCAGCGAAACTCTGATCTGTTTTCTTGTTCAATTGCATACGTGCGTTCTAACCATCGAATTACAGGAGAAAGTGGCCAGGTTAAATTACAATGGTTTCGTAAATGTTAGAGTACGGATCGAGTATGTATGTATGAGTATCGGATTAAATTGATCTATTTGTCGATCAATTGTCAAACCTACATCAACGCAAAGCTGATATAACCCTGTGGATGGAAAAAATGAAATTGTTGCGGTTGAAGCACGAATCTCTGAAAACAGTGAAATCTTCTCACGTGGAACAGACACCAGCAAGGAAGTTCTCTCGACTTTTTCCCAAAAGATCATGTTCGACGACATTAGAATGTCGACATTAGAATAGTGGATTGCGCAACAGGTTGCGCGGTTCATCGACGGTGAAACAATCTGTGTGCGATCGAGATCATTGGCCTTTATAAACCCGACTAAATAGCATGCAACGGCTAGTAATATTTTTTTCAGCAAGAACTAATTACAAGTAATTCAAATTTTGAAATTCTCCGTCGTTTCTCGACGACTCCGTGCTTTAAGAGCGAAGAACAGCGAAATATAAAAGAAAACCCATCTTAAGATTATAACGCTACACGGGAAACAAAATCGATTGTCCGTGGTGTATGTAGCAAGAAAATTAATTAAACGACATACGTGAAAGAAAATAAGATCTATTTGTTAGGCTCTTACCGTAACGCGTTTCATCGAGCGCATGCATTCGTGACGAAACTGTAAAGCATGCGCACGTTTAAACAGTACACAGGACAACGAACAATTATCGCAACTTTCGTCGTTGACCATTCCTGACATGCACCGCGTGCGTGTTCTAGATCTCCAAGTTACACATTTAATCACAATTAATCATAAAATGAAAGAATTCGTCGGTTGCTTAATTCTTAACGCACAACACATTAGACGCCGTAATATGAAGGAAACGAGTCAGAATTGCTTGCAACGTCATACGACAAGCATCGATTCGACGATCTCGTTGCTGATAAACGAACGAACGTTGCTACTTTCCAGGTGAAACTAGATAAAAGTAAATGATGTACAATAAAGATATTCATAGAAATCTATATACATAGAAATAATTTCTCGAATTACTTTTCTACTATTCTGTCCACGAAGTGTACCGGTGGTTTGCGTAAGAAGGATCTAAAGCGCAAGTACTGTCAAGCATGGATGAGTAACGACCAACAACTAACTCGTTAAGCGAATTCTCGTTTCCGGTGAGTGTGGCAATAAGATTGAACAAACGAGAATGAAAGATGCGGTTCGTGGATTTAGCAAGCATCTAGAACGGAATAGTTTACTGTTCTTAATATTAACCTCGGAAAATACAATATTAAAAATAAGAAACAGAGCATTAGTAACTTTATGTTCCAAGTTTTGATCTATAATTCGAGACGCGTGATCTATCGAATATTTTCCTGGGTCCTAACGGTTTCTATCGTTGACGTGGTAAAACTTCAACGAGTAATAGCAAGAAAGGGAAATCTCACCGTCTGGAAGCGATGCGTTGCGGACTTGTCGCCGTGCTAGAAGGTGGACTCGTAGAAGCACCGCCAAAAGAGCTGGAACATGTCGTGATTCCTGAAGCAGTTGTATCACTGCCCGTAGTCGACGATAAAACGCTGCTTTGCCTCGAAGTAATGTCGCGGCTTCGCGTTCTTTGCGATCGACTTGCTCTAAATTGTCTTCCGCCTCTCCGCGATGGCACTACATTTGAATTATTCGAGTTTCTTACAGGAGCGCTGGATGGCCTAAGGAGGGTGCCGGAAGTACCGTTTGTTTGGGCAGCTAATATCTCTGGAGCAATTAAAGCGATATCTGGCAAAGAATTTGGCGCGGATACGACAGTTCCGTGGCAACTGTTCAAATCGATGTTTCGTTGTCGTTCAGTTTCTTCCGGTAATCTCAAATGACGCAAACGTCTCATCGAAGCCCGTACCCAAGAATTAACAAGCGTAGGATTGTCACGTGTTTCGCGATCGATGGTTTCGTTGCTCGCGTTGCAACGTACATTTTCATCTTGATTATTGCCGTTACAGTCGGACGGCGGATCGGAAGTTAACCATCGCGAACCACCGACCACTAGGGACTTTACTGTCCCGGAGACAGACATCGCGACACTGCAGCCCGCCTCGGTAGCACGATGCTCGCGACCGCGCCTGCGTCTTGCGTTTTCACTGGTGGGGGATGCATTCCCTCCTTCGGTGTTCTCCTGAACCGCGTCAACCACACCGGGTGCTAACGACTCCGTAGCCCGCGGACATTCTACTTCCTCTAACCACGACCAATCTACTTCCGAACATTCTGAACATCCGTCCTCTTGATCCTCTCCATTCGTTTCCAATCCTTCCTCCGTTGAACAACTGTAGACAATCACAATTTTTAGTTTATCGTTTCCCCTGTTTATCTTAGGATTATTACGTATCTTAATTTAAGAGAGAATATAAATTATACTTTAAGAATATAAATTGTTCTTCCTGGCTTTGTTAGGCGTGCTACCTAGATATCTTATAGATGATAAGAAAATACTATATACCTTAGGAAAACACATCCGAGGCACAAGCCATATGGAGAAAGTTTTCAACCAAACCTTTGTCTCTCAGGCGTGGCTACACGTGCCACTTTAAAGATCTATTCAATGTCGACTTGGATCCACGCTTCTCGCACACAACTCGTGCCATTACTTCCGGCTAGTCACTGTGTTGTCTGACGGAGAATCTCTTTGGATATTCGAAACGAAATTACGCGCCTACGAGTATGTATTTATATCGTTCCTCGTAATCTCTATAAAAGCAACCTATCCTCCATCTATATGAATCACGTTACTGATTTCAATTTAACCCAGGAATTTAACATATTACGTTTCTTTATGAAATCGATGGAAATCAACAGCGTTATAACACCTTGCATTTTGAAGATTAAAAAGAAGATTTAACTACACTCTAGAAACTAGAGTAAACTAACGGAAGACCCTCTGACCCTTCACCTTTACTTCTACTCTTAAAAATATAACTTACGAAACGTTTTCTACTCCAATGAACTCGACGTAAGTCGGACCTATTTTTATTTATATTTTTATACAAGCACTGTTACACGAGCTAAACAAAAGTCTTTTAAACTTCACGATAAATATTAACCATATCCGAAGAATTCAGCTCAATTAAGAACTGGAATATTTGTGAATAAACTCGCTACTAAATCATTATCGTATATATTATTAACGTTAACAACGATGTCACATTTCCTGCTTCTAATAGCTGACGATTCATTACGTGCGAAGAAGAGTGAAAACAAGTAGTAAAATTGTCGTACCTCGAAATAAAGCTGGATTGCCGATGAATGCCATTGGAAGTTGATGACGCGTAATTATATCCTCTTAAACTAGTTGACCTATCGAACCGAGAAAATGTATCCTGTGCTGCATTTTTGAGTGTAGTTCCTTCCGTCCAAGATTTACGATGTGTATGCTGAAATGATCTTCTTTTAGCTGTTCGTACAAACGTTTGTTCTTCGGAATGATTTTCAACCACGTCAATGCTACTCGCTCCAAGCTCATAATCAACAGGATCGGATCTAGGTTTCCTCGAAATACTTTCAGAAGGGGTGCCCGAACATAATTCAAAAGCTGAATCATTTAAATCCGTGTCTGCTTTCCAGCAGTTTAGTGCTTGTGAAGCACTTTTACCATTGTAATTCAATAAATCTTCGTTTTTTATGGTACGAGAGGTTAATAGGATCAGTCCATGTGAATGTATAACTTGGTCATAACGGTTACATTTCGCTTCAGCTGGATCATCGTTGTCATCGTGTTCTGTGAGAAAATTGAAAGCATCGTTGATCTCCTGTGCCTCAAACGTATCGTCTTCGAGCTTTTCACTGGAATAATGTCCGTCTTTGTTATCCGATGAACTTCCATAATCAACCGTGTCTTGATGCTCCTCATTAATGTCGGAACAAGTCTTTCTTATAACTGGTTCTAAGTTCCTGGTAATGTCACGAACCCTTTTTATCGTATCGGATGAAACGACATCGATTCTTTTACGAATCGGCACCACTTGATCGTGACCTAACGTGACTAATACATCACCGTTGTCATTTATGCATTGTACTTGTTCTTGCTTCCTGGTTAATGACAATGCTTGTTCTAACTTCGGTAGGCATACATCGAGAAGATGTTCTTGCTCGTCAGGCGATGATTCTTGAATCGATACTCGTGGTACACAACTATCGTTTCCAAGATCGATCAAATCACCATCTTCGCTCGAAGTCATTCTGTAATGGTTAACTACTGCAACGAGAAAATGAACGTTTATCTGTAGTAGGGTAACAATCCTGTGCATTCTTTTAAATGTTTAAATTTCTACGATCAGGCTAACTTAATCCCTTGAACAAAGTAGACCGATACTTTTTCGTTTCAAATGTCTAAACCTCTCCTACGTTCGCTTCACTTGGAAACCAAGTACATATATATCGTCATTTTATCTCGATGCGATGAAAACTGATTCTAAAACCACTCCTTTATGTAGAGATTTATTACACAAATTACTATCTTTAGTTCTTTGTGTAAACCGTAGAATATGCTACGACAGACTCACTATTTTGGAAATATTGGACAACGTTATGAAATATCCATATAGCTGACATGATTTAAAACAATAACTGATTGAAATGGATGTTTAACCTTACGGTATAAAGAAACACGTATGAATGCCGGGCCGTTGAGGAAAATAAGTTACAGCAAATAAGTCACCCACGGTGTTATATTATTAGGAATCATTAACGATGTAATGCTAAAGACAATTTGCCAACTCCGATTATTTATAAACTAATCCTACTACCACAGTACTAACGTGATTGTGATAAAAATGAAGAAATAAACATATGAATCATTCCTCATACCTACCAAAATACGCATACAATATCAATCAAAAGTATTATCGACACAAATTCATAAAGTTTTATTATTATTTAGTAACATTTCATCTAAAACGACTCGATTGTCGTATCAATTATCATCCATTAGCATCTATTGTCGACTGATAATAGTTCAAATTATTATCTGGTATTATCTAGTAGGTGAAAAAGTAAGTAAGAACTGGTAACCGATATAAATTAAAAATTTGACTACGTACATCATATCAGAGTTGGTAAAAATTATGATTCGTTCATTAATTGATTCATATCCTTTAGTACTCGGGAACGGAAGAACATAGAAACATTTCTGTAATATTACTCTTCCGAACGACGCCTGTCCCTTTACAAAACTCGTAGAGAAATACTAGTAACAGAAAGAATAAATTGTAATACTTTTTGTACTTTTTAACATTTTTAACAATTTTTACACTTCTATATATTTTAATAGTGGATGCATGATTGGAGAAGTCAAAAGGAAGCTATCGATCGATATTGTCGGAAAACTATCGATCTAAAAGCTGTGACTGGAATCGACTGGAACGACTGTCACGGTCGATACTTTAGGACAAGCCCGTTGCCAGCACACTTGTCCAGGTAACAGGTAACCAGTAACCGGACCTTCTCAGCTGGCTACGGCTCTATATAACTCATTCGTGAATCATGAACCAGGACAACAACTTCAGAATGCTTTTATAGAGTTTCAAACTAATCAATATCCTAAAAACAATACTATAGCCAAATAATCTAATTCATTTTCCTTATTCACATACTCGCACAATATTATTTTTCTATGAAGAAATTTTATTTTACATGAAACATATATTTAATATGTTCTTCTATGTGTGTGTTTGTGTGATACTTGCTTTTATACATAGAGACATCTACATAGCCTGTAATACTTGTACAATATTTATTTGATTCTCCTCGATAAAATACCAATAATAAAGTGTACAAGCAATAGTTAATAATCAAAAATAAATAAACTGATAAAATGATGACAAATGATCTACTCGTTTTGTCGTTTGTATAAGAGTAGTTTCATTTTTCTTATAAATATGGTTAAGCTAGTACACTAATGATATCCTCTATTACATACAAACAACGTGTAATAGCTGTCAATGTTGAAGGCCAACTACATATTCATAAAAACAGCTACATGATTTTAAGATTTAGCACATGTGACATTTTTTTGTATCATATTTGTAGTTTTTCTATTTTTTAATTTACTAAATACTAAATACATATAATTTAATAAATCAAGTTTAAAAGTAATTGTGATTGAAGTCTTGTAAAGTAAAATATTGAATATTTTTCATATCTTGTAAATTTTATGTAAATTTTCGCAAAGGATATCCGAAAATTAAAATCCTAGAATTTTCAGTATAGCTGTTCACAAAAGATATAACATTGCAAACGTTGATAAACGATTTCATTTCTTCTTGTAAATTTTTGTTATTTAATCAATTATTTATTAAACAATAAAATGAGATGTATATTACAAGTACATCTCTTACTTACGTCATTTTATAATATATAGAAATTTATATGTATATTTCAAACAAATGAAAGCTGTCGATGTTTTTTTAAAATATAGCAATGCTCTAGAATTTGTAAACCGATCATAACTGAGGATAACGCCATCTAAAAATATTATAAGCTTATTTAGCCCAAAGCGCGCCTATTAGAACAAAAAAAAATAAATTCTATATGTTCTATTATACAGCTTCTCTTATACACTCATTATATTATAAACAGAAGTTCGACATTGCAAAATTCGGAATAGTCGTTATTACTTCGAAATCACACACATTTGCGCTTAGTTTAATATTTTCTATCAAATTTTGCCCAGTTATTTAGATTCATCTAAAAGTGGTATTATGTCTAATTATATTATTCATTATGGTTTTATGATCTCGCTTTTTAAATGATAACTCAATTAATTTATTAATTTAAACTTCGAATTTTCACTTTTATTAGAACTTTCTTTTTATCTGTATTTGAAAGATCTATGAACACTTGAGTCACCAAATTTGATCATGCAATTCTTTTTAAATAAGATCAAGATCAGTTTTACACTTATTATTATCCGTTATTCTTGGTACTGGTTACGTCGGCCCTCGAAAAACCAAACAGAGCACTGACATGATTTCAATAGCACAGTTGCAGCAAACTCAACATTCATTGTTGATTTCAGCGATTTTGAAAAGTATCTATTAGTCTTTTCACTTGCTTTCGTAATCCAGGAATTTAAGCATATTATTCACTACAATACGCCACGTAGATGATATGAAAGAAACAAATACTTTACGTTATCCGCGTAAGGCGTAAGGCACGCACTGAAGAAAGAACGAACGTCGGCAAGGAGAGTCCGATGCGTGCATTCACCAATTCACTGCCGATCTTCGACATGTCGGTGTGTGCGTGCCTGCTTGCTTACCCATCGGAAAGAGAATACATATTCAGACTGAATGGTAGATAGAAAGGGAAGCAAGAGGACAGAGACAGTAGTGACAGGGTGAAAAAGAGTAGGCGATTCAAAGAGAACAAGTATGTACATATATACAGGCGAAAGCAGCAGGCGAACTATAAGATATGCCGACCAACGATACTTGCTAATCTTGAGTACATCAAATATAGCCATATACATTCTAGTTTGCGTTATTATTATTTCCAAAACACTCAGGTATTGATGGTCGTTAATTAATTAATTTTTATTTACTGATCACGCATTCGATTAACATAGAAGTCAATATATACAGCTATGTGTATTCAAATGAGATAATTTTTTTACACTTAGTGTACCATACCACGCATTTATCGTTTTCGATTTTGGAAGACTTCTTGTAATTTTCTTTCCAATAATTCTGAATCTAAACGATGTTTACAAAGAAACTGCCGTTCTAAAAAGAGAACTGGGATTTCATATTTGTACAGTTCCAAATATCGTTCATTCCCAGGCGTAGTAATATCAACTTCTTGCAATTGATAACGACCAGAAAAACGCAACTGCAATTCATTTTTTAAAATATCACAAAGTGGACAAGGATGTTTTGTATATAATGTTAATATTGGTGGAGAAGACATTGTATGATACCTATAGAACGAAAGAAAAATTATATTCCTTCAAAGATAATTATTCTTACTTTATTTTTAATATTATTTATTTATCGTAACAATATGATATAAAAAATAAATTGTACAGATATAAAAATTGTATATCTTTGTGCATAGTAAAAAGAAATAAAAATATTCTTTACAACCATTATATAAAATATTGCGTAACGTTAAACAACTATTACCACATAATTATATATCACATTTCATAGGCATATGAAACTTCTTCCATTATAAACTTACAATTTTTCAATTAAAATTGATGAGGCCCCACCACCTCCATTGCAGATAGATGCAATACCCTTCTCTCCAGCTTTTAAAGCGTGTACTAAATGTACTACAAGACGAGCTCCAGACATACTAAAATTTTTAATGTTTGCAATTTAAATTTTTATTCATGTTTACAAAAATAACCAAATACTTACCCAATAGGATGACCAAGAGACACAGCACCACCATGAATATTTACTGTATTTGGATCCAGATCAAGTAATTTTTGATTTGCGATTACAACAACACTAAAAGCTTCATTAATCTCCCAGAGAGCTATATCATTCTTATTAAGTCCAGTTTTTTCTAACAGCTAAATGTACCATATATTATACAATTTTTACAATAATTCAATATATACCATAACCATGATATAATAATTTACATCATCAAAATTTTATTAAGCATTCTGTTATATATGTCGTAAGAAGTTTACCTTAGATATACCAAAAGATGGTGCAGTTGGAAAATCAATGGGGTCAGTTGCAGCATCTTGAAATGCAATAATTCGTGCTAAAGGTTTCAAATTCATTTTTTGTGCAACCACTGTAGTTGTTAGGATTAATGCAGCAGCTCCATCGTTTAAAGTTGATGCATTTCCAGCAGTTACTGTACCATTTTCCTTCTGCAATAAATAAAGTCAAATTATTATTTGAAATTTGTATTAGTAATTCTCAATTAATTTAATCTTGTACCTGAAAAACTGTATTCAATTTACCAAATTTATCAAAATTAACTTTTTTATATTCTTCGTCTTCGTTAAATACTATATCAGGATTGCCTCTTTTTTGAGGCACAGGAACAGGAACAAGTTCATCTTGAAAGATTTTATTTGCATATGCTGTAGCACTACGTTTGTAACTATTAATAGCATACCTATCTTGCTCATCACGCGTAATATTTAATTTTTTGGCAGTATTTTCTGCACAATTTCCCATATGAAACTTATTATAAACATCAGTTAAACCATCAAATACAATACCATCCTATTAAATTACAAATAATCAATATGAAGATTAATAAATTACAACTTTTTTCAAAAAGGCACAAAAACATTTATTTTTTACACATTAAATATGGCATTTATTATACCTCAAGTTTTATACCACCATACTTAATTTCCCCTCGTGGTAGATAAAATGGTACATTAGACATTGATTCCATACCACCAGCTAGAACAATTTCTTGATGCCCGCATTGTAATGACTGAGAAGCAAGCATAATACTTTTCATACCACTTGCACACACTTTGTTAACTGTTGTGCATATTGTCGACTTAGGAAGACCTGATTTAAAAATTTATCAATATATATATTGATATTATAATGTAGAACAAATAAAATAATAGTACAAAAAAACCTGCAAACAGCGTAGCTTGCCTTGCTGGAGCTTGACCTAAGGAAGCTTGACAAACATTTCCCATATATACTTCTGTAACTTTATCTTTGGAAATTCCAGCACGTTCAATTGCTGCCTGTTATAATTTATAATTATGTTTTGTACATATGTCTACAGCAATTCATTATCACTTTAGTAAATATAAAATTGATATTTACTTTTATAGTTATGGCTCCAAGTTTTGGTGCAGGTAAACTTGATAATCCTCCAAGAAATGATCCCATAGGGGTTCTAGTTGCACTAACTATAACGACATCATTTAGTTTTACTTTAGAACTATATGAACGTAAGGTCATGAGAGGAATCTAAACAAAAAAAAGTATGGCTAAACAATAAAAAAGAATTTTTCACAAAATAAATTTTTGTAAATTACATGTACATAAGTTAAGCATATTAAGATACATTATTATAATACATTATTAAGATACATTATTATTTATAAGACACAATTAAAAATAATAAAACATATATATTATAATGAAATAGTGCAATAATTCTTGTTTAATTCTTATTTAAAAATATATTTATCGAAAATTAATTTTATTTTACAATAAACAATTTATGAACGACTTACTTTGTTTATGTTCTTTAATAGCAACATTGTGACAAAAAATTTAACAACCTGCGATTGTTATACTACATAAACTGATACACAAGATTAAACTATCTTGACTTCTCAGTGATTAATCTTATGTTCCAATTAATCACTATATAAAAGTAGCAATATTTGCATCCAAATCCATGGTTTCTTTATATCTCATTAATTATAATTAAATTAATCGCATACATATAATTTATTTATACTTTGAGTTTGCTACAAATATAAACTTTTATTTGTATAGATTTGTGACTTCTTTAATTTGTATTATGGATATATTTTTAAAAGTTTGTACAAAATACGGACACCCTAATAAAGACGGTCCTGAAATATTGCACATGCGCAGGAATGTAAACTTTTACTTATATTTCCTTACTTTGTATTAGCTTATCTATATTACTATCATATAAACAGATCTGAGCACTGGCTAAGGAAAACTGCTCGAAAATTGAGTCCTGAAAAATTAACATAAAAGACATGAAAATTCTCGTTCTTGCGAGACAGAGATCAGTAGAACGAATAACTTCCGCTCCCCCATTTTTGTCCTCCATGTTGATTTTTCACGACCTAATTTTCGGATGGTCTCTTCTATACTTTCAATATATAAGTATCAAGACCATGCACATATGCATATATCCATGGTCGAAATTTGTTTATTGGATTGATTGTAGTCTATATAGTATAACGTGATTATTACATCAAATCAGTATTTCTGTAATAACAATGAAGCTTTCAACATAAAATACATACATAATCATTTTATGTCTACATAATAAATCGAGAAAAGATGAGATTCTTTTTTTTTTTTTTTTATTTTATTTGTTGAAATTACCATCAATTCTCGCGTTGAGAATTTTCAGTAATTTTTCTGGCGTGGCGCAGTGACATGGCTGTTTATTTACAATAAGTTATACTTATTATAGATAGGTATAATTTATTAGTGTTATAGGTAAGTGCATATGCTTAATTTGGATAATTAAGTGAATCTAACGTTTAGGTCTAGCGGGTAGTGCCTCTTCAGCCTGCGAATCTGGTCCGTCGTATCGAGTAGTCCAGTGATTAGGGGGTTTCGGTGTTTGTTGACTCTTTTGCTATATCTGTCGCTATATTTCGCTATTTCCTCTTTGACTGTTGGTATCTTGAGGTCGCGATGGATGGTTTCGTTGGTAACATACCAGGGTGCGTCTATTAAGGCTCTTAGCGTTTTCGATTGGAATCTTTGTAGTATTTCGATGTTGGAGTTACTAGCTGTTCCCCATAGTTGGATTCCGTAGGTCCAGACAGGTTTTATTACGGTCTTGTAGAGGTTAATTTTATTCTGTATGTTTAGTTTGGAGCGTCGGCCCGTGAGCCAATAAAGTTTTTTTAGTTTGTCCTTAAGTTGCTTCGTTTTATCTGAGATGTGTGTCTTCCACGTTAGTCTCCTGTCCAGGGTCATGCCCAGGTATCGGACAAGATGAGATTCGACGCTCCATTTAAGTTTTGCGTTAAATGACTAATGGCAAGTGCGTTGTCCTTTAGACTAAATGTACACGAGCGACATCTTACCGTGCGACGGTAAATATAGACCTTCCGCGCGGTGCTGCATGGACATCCGTAACACCTATAGTTAGATGTCTGAGTAGGATCGGTAGACAGTAGGAATAGGATTTATGCCTCGTTTAGTGTCTGAACCAAGTTTGGAACAAATTTTAATATATGATTGAGTTTTGTATGATAATATTGATAATAGTGTTTCTCAAAGATTTGGCAAGCCGACGAAGTCAGGACGTGACTTTTGATATTGGTATGTTATCTCTGTAATGCATTGTTTTAACAATCATATAAATATAACATTTTTTGATGTTTCAAAATTGTTAAATTGTTCGTAAATTGTTACTAATTTACACAAGTTTATAGAATTTACATAAATTATACAGAAATTGTGCCTTTCGATTAAACATTTCAAATACCAAATAACATCTAAATAGTACAAATATATAGCAATTTTTACAATCACTCTAGGTTTGAAAAAATAATTTTTAACTTTTATTGTAAAGAAGTAATGAATTATATTTGGTTGAAACTGTCTTCCTTGCACACCAACTTCCGTTGTGTTTTCCCACTTTTTCTTCTCCTACCTTTGATTACGTCGTTTTCAAACGTGATAAACGCAATCTTTACCTTAGAGGATGCAAAATGATTGACTTTCCTTGTAATTTTGTAATTTCTGACCTAAAAAACAAATTTTAAGGTGCAGGATCTATTCAAAAAGTTATGCATGTAGAAAATCAAGCAGATTTGGCGTATTTGAAAGGTTACTTCAACGCCATATTGGCTTCTATCCATGTTATGACTGGTTCGCACAGATGAGCATTGAACTAAAGTTCGCAGGAAATTAGAGATATAAAGATAGAGTACGGGTGAATATGTTTTCATGTAAATGAATGGAATATGCACAGAAGTCTGTAAGAATATGGGAATAGAAAGAGAACGCTGCATAGAGACCTCTTTTGCCCTACTCTAATCAGGCATGTACGCTGAAACCACTCGTTAATCGGTGTTACACTTGCATATTTATTGTACGAATGTGCATGATTAAATAAAGACACAGGGAGTCTGTAGCAGCCTTCTTTTTCTATTCCTATATCACTTTTTCAGTCCACTCACACACTTTATCTTTATATCTTCATGGTTATAACTGGTCGGCAAGTAAACTATCACCCATATCTAATCCGATATCAAATTAATAACTAATAATTTGAATCACGATTTATAATCCCGCCGCAAAATGGTTGTCATCCACGTGCATTTATTTACAGCCAGCAACAACATTCACTAGACAAATCGTGGCTAGAAATCAATATGACGTCCAAGTAACCTGTCAAATACGCTCAAGATGCTTGACTTCATATACTTACGGCTCTCAAATCAATGGATTCCGTACCTAGAAACTTGTTTTTGTAGACCGAAACACGTAAAAAAACTGTCATATTTATCTTCTATAAACATATTTCAATCATTGTAAAGCATTTCCATGTCAGCATTGATTTCACGTTTCTTTTAAATAAGGACATTAAAAGAGTATGTGTTCTGAAAATAAGAGGAAAAGGTCCATTACAGATTTCCAGTATACAATTTAACAAACCGGTTTAGTCATCTGTATAAACTAACCTTACATAATAGTATTAAAGTATTATTACTGGATTAAGAATCAAAGTCTTATAACGTTGTATGTGGAAGGTTCTTAATTTTCAGTAATCAAAATTTAATAAATGACCACCGTATGTAATAAAATGAAGTGATTAAGTGTTTATAATTGATCAATAAGTTTAGTAAAATTTTCTAACATGAATTTATAGCATTAAATAATGTAAAATATCAGTTGCTATGCTTTTTCGATACAGTTCATTCTCATGAACATTCAATGGCACAATGCAACAAAAAAAGTAGAAATTTGAAATACGGGCCATAAAAGTGGCAACGTTGCACAGGGTGATGTCGGTGATGATATGATGAACAGAACATGAGCCTGTGTAAACTTTAAGGATCGAGAAAGGGTGAGATAGATAGAGAGAGAGAGAGAGAGAAAGAGAGAGTTCTCGGAACTTCAGACTTGTGTACAGTTCGTAGGCTGCGTCATTTCAATGTTATGTACTGCGAAAAGTGATACTCCGTCATTCACGAATCATAACGGCATTGCAGTCACTATCGAGTTTAGAATTCTTCCCCTTTCCTCTTTCTTGCCAAATGCGGATGGTATGTTCCATAAATGTATTATACGATCGTACATACAACGCAGTATATATTTAAATAAGCATATTCCATATGTTGCACAATTTTATTATATATAATTGCAAGTTAACTTTACTTATTTTTATTAATAAAATGAAATTGATGCTATGAAAGATATTTAGAGTAGAAAAAATAATTACATGCCAACAATATTTTAATAAAAGTTTATTTACAATTAATATTTTATATAACAATTGCAATTTTTTTAATAGGTTTGAAGACATTTTTAACAATAATTCAAATAAAATGATTGGTACAATCACACACTGGAACTTGGAGAATGATTCAAACTTAAAAACTTCAGAGAATGCGCACTTTCCATCACTAGTTGATACAACACATGATATAAGTCATGATGAAGTAGATAATACTGATTACCATTTTGAAGCAGCAAGACTTCAGAGCTTTGAAAATTGGCCTATAACATACATTGAACCTGAAAAGCTTGCAGCTGCAGGATTCTATTATACGGGTGAAAGTGACAGAGTAAAATGTTTTGAATGTGGAGTTGAGATATGTAAATGGGTAGAAGGTGATATACCCATGGTCGATCATCAGAGATGGTCTGCAAGGTGTAGATTTATTCGTAAACTGAACTGTGGTAATATACCCATTGGAGTAGATCCTGGTACGGTGATACGTCCAAGACCAAAAAGTAGGGATGTATGTGGTCCTTATGGTTTAGAATATCGACCTACATCTGGTCCCGATGACCATAATTTTTCAATGGAATTACAACTAGCAAGCACAGCTAAACTTGGCTGTTTAGGTCTGGGAAGGACTAAGGAACCAGTACATCCAGAATATGCTAGTTATGATGCTAGGTTACATACATTTGTAACATGGCCTAAATCTATGCCACAAACAAAAGAACAATTAGCCGATGCAGGCTTTTATTATACTGGGAAAGGTGACCAAACCTTGTGTTACCACTGTGGAGGTGGTTTGAAAGATTGGGAACCAGAAGATGATCCTTGGGAGCAACACGCAAAGTTGTTTTCTAAATGCTGTTATGTATTAATCGTGCAAGGGCAAGATTATGTAAATAAAATAACAGGCCAGCATATATCTCCACCTTCTAAAGAAGTAAGTACACAAATCTATATCCTTAATTGCATATTTTATGCCATGGGCATAATAAGTAATTAATAACTGCATTACATACTTATGGATATTGTATTTATTTCAGGAAACAATGCGGATGAATCTACCCAGTTTTATTAAGAAAGTACAACCTACGAGAGTAGAAGTAGAAAGGAAAAAAGATATAGAAAGCAATCCAGGATCAAGTTCTCAAAATAATCATATTTGGGGTATTGGAAGCAATACAGAACCCATAAAAAGAAGTTTAGAATACGAGCCAGCAGAAAATCCATCAAATACAAAAACTCGAAATACCAAACCTACTGATGATGCAAGAATGTGCAAAATCTGTTATAACGAAGAATTAGGAGTGGTATTTTTACCATGTGGACATATGATAGCTTGTGTAAAATGTGCTCTTGGCATGATGATTTGTGCAGTATGCAGAGAACCTGTTACAATGACTGTAAGAGCCTTCATCCCATAGTATTCAATTGAATGTATAGGGTGTATAAAAAGTAAGTATAAAAACCATCATAGCATGATTCTACATCTCTGTATCAGTGAAAATTTGTAAAAAGAAGTTCGTACAAAAATGACTATGACCTTGAATTTTAAGGTCAGACATTTTTTTATTACCTTATATTCTACTCATCATGAAGATAAAAAACTTTAACCCTTTGTGGACTACCGCCGCTTATATGCGTTCTGCGTAAACCATCAATTTGGTCGAGTAACACATATATGCGTTTGGCGAAAACAGCTGATAGAGCCGAAAGACTCATATATGCGTATTTATAAAAGACTCATATGTGTGTCATTTTATCTATTCCGTGGAAATTCTGTGCATGTACATATGGTTAGAATTTGACATCTTGGAGTGTTATGAAAGAAAATCGTGTCTAAGCAGAAATGTGCGCTGGCAATTTTAAATGACTATCGCGACAGCAGCTCGGCCCTGTCCGCAAAGAATTAAGGAACCATGGATCGCAACTCAACCGTTCTTTTGGGAGAAAATGTTAAAGTTCCATTAATTTTTGAACTTACTTTATTTATAATGTGCTTACATTCTGCGATCAGATGCAGGTAAAGTAGCATCTATCGTTGCGCATAAATAACCCATATTCACGATTATATATCCTATATTTGTTCTTCCTTCCTTCCTTCCATTCTTTCTTTCTTCTTTCTTCTTTTTTCTATTTAAACCGCCCCAAACTCACTTCTATATTTCGATCAAGTTTCTCATCGAGATTACGTATTGACTTTGTATGATAAAAACCACATTGAATCGGATTTTTAAATTGTTCAGCGGAGGTAATTTGTTCACTGGAACTATAAACATTTTCGCTTCCTATCGTTTCAACTATTACATGTAGATTTCTGTGAATATAGATTCTGGCATTTTGTTCATTGAGTATGATATTACGTGAGAAACAGCTTTTATTTGTAAATAACATATGTTTCAAAAGCGTAGATCACGTTACGACTTATGTAGCATTTCGTCGAGTGGCATAATTATGTGGAGTTCTTGAATGTAATGAATTTTATAAGGTTTAAGCCCTTCTTATTATATTCATTGCAATATCATATGATTGAGTCTTTCTCGACGAGCTATTTTGTGTAAATTTATTAGTGGATGAACACGAGCAAAAGCATTTTATGTCTCCAAATTTTGGTGCAGCTAAACTTAGCAAGAAATGATCCTATGAAGGATTTAGTTGCACTAACATAACGACATCATTTAGTTTTATTTTAAAACTATTAAATTGTCCGGAAAGTTTCTTCCGTTTTATGAGGAAATAATAAACGCACAACGTTTTTTGTTTTATATTATTTTATCGAATTACGTACGATCCATTTCATTCTGTTGAGATAAACACCGCTACATTTCACAGATTTGGTTTCACGTTTGTATGAAGGTGCACTGTTGTAAAATACGTTTGCGAAAGAAAGACACTTTCCGGACAACCTACTATATGAACGTAAATCATGAGAGGAATCTAAACAATAAAACAGAATTTTTTATAAAATAAATTTTTGTAAATTTTATGTACATAATTTAAGCATATTAAGATATAGATAATAAATTAAAGAATAATAAAACATATTTATTATAATCAAATAGTGTAATAATTCTTATTTAAAAATATATATATCGAAAATTATGATAAAACTGTAGAAAATTTACTTCTTCACCGATTTCGACGATTTCTCAATATGTTATAGAAATCAACATTTTCAGCAACTTTTCCTGAACATGTAACTATTAGTCAATCATTGTTAACGAAATATTCGTAAAAAAACTATATGCAGATATCATTACAGTGAATTGTGTCTAAAATTGTACGTCCGTAACAGCATACGCATTAGTATTGGTTACCTATTTTGTGTATATATAGTAATATATGAATAAAGGTTGGGCGTGCTTAAAGCCTCATGCACAACTGCATATGCAAGGCTGTAAGAAATGTTTGTTATAATTCAATTAAAGCAGAATATCAATGTACATATTGAGTTTGAATTTGGGTTAACTTTTTCAATCCGGTCCGCGCGAGGCAGCTGACAATGATTGCGTAAATAATGAGAAATTAATTATAAAAATAATAAGGATGAATAATTTATATTATCAGATTATTTTAAGAAATACAGATAGGAAACAATTGTTATTGTTCACACAAGCGTTCACGTTTAGGAGATTCGTGTCCTGCGCATGACTTGCTATGAATATTTCAGACAGAGATAGAAACACTCTATTTATGCTGCGTGTCGCAGAACGAGAACTTTGTTGTCTTCCATATTCATTTTTCACGATTCAATTTTCGGATGGTTTTTCCTAACGAGTATCGAGACTTGTTTATAAGTCCGTGGATTTCTTGTATTATAGTAGTTATAACCAAAATAGTTGCATATATATAATTTATTTAAATTTTTATTTATTGTAAATATAAACTTTTATTTGTATAAATTGGTAAATTTTATAATTTGCATTATGAGTGTATATTAATAAAAGTCTGAAAAAAATACAGACACCCTAATAAAGACGGCCCTGAAATATCGCGCACGCGTAGAAATGTAACCTTTTAATTACATTTCCCTACTTCGTTATTAGTCTACATAATATGACGTGATATGTAGATGATTATTATATCAAATCAGTATGTCTCAGTATAAATACAATATCAGTATAATAATGAGGCTTCCAACATAAAATACATACAATAATCATTTATTCCACGTTGTAAATCGAATATACGACTCTGTTAAAATTGGTTAATTTTTTCTATTTGTACATTCAAATAAAGGTAAATGAATTTCTAAAATGAATGTTGAAGAAAGTAGACTAAGAACTTTTACGGATTGGCCAGTAAATGCCACAGTTGATGCTGCTCGAATAGCAAAAGCCGGATTTTACTACACTGGACATGCCTTAGAAGTACAATGCTTTTTATGTGGAGTAAAAATTTCTGATTGGAATTATGGTGATCAAGCTATAGTGCGCCATCGATTAGCCGAACCCAATTGTCCTTTTGTTCAAAATCCTTCTAGTACCTGTAATGTCCCTCTGATACCAATACCCATTAATAATCTTGGATTAGCATCATCATCAACAGAAACATCACAGGATAATAACATAGTTGAATGTCAATCTATAAACCCTTATCAGAATAAAGAACCTCAAAAAGAATGTAGGGTTATGTCACAAAGATTACAATCCTTTACTAATTGGCCAATTTCTTCTATTGTATCGCCTGAAAAACTTGCTAAAGCTGGATTTTATTATCTTCAACATGATGATGAAGTAATAATACATTTAAAAAATATAAATTTTACATGATACATATTTATATAATATTTATATAATATACAAACTTTTATAGGTACAATGTACATATTGTGGAGGTATCCTAAGAAAGTGGAAACTTGGTGATGATCCAGAGAGAAAACATAGAGAATATTTCCCTAATTGTAACTTCTATGCTCATCAAGATAAAGATGGTATTTGTATGCTAAAAAAGCTTTTTCTTTTTCTGTACAGAAATTATTTTATTTCAATTTTTCTTTCATTAGATAATTTGTATTTAACTAATGTAAAATTAATGCCTGGTGCAACATCAAATCTCTCAGACTTAGGAATACAAATACACACAACTCCTAAAAAACCAGATTGTGCAACATACGAAGGAAGATTACGAACCTTTAATGGCTGGCCAGAAAATATTAAGCAAACTCCTGAAATATTAGCTAGTGCTGGATTTTATTATGATGGTATAAATTATACAGAACAAAGATATTATAATATTAAATAATACTAGACTAATAGTATGAAAATATTATAATAGGGTTTGGTGACCATGTTAGATGTTTTCACTGTGATGGTGGTTTACGAAATTGGGAAGCAACAGATGATGCATGGACTGAACATGCAAGATGGTTTCCTAAATGCGAATTTGTGAATCTTGTAAGAGGGCAAGAATTTATCAAACAGTGCATTAACAACAGACCACCTTTGGATCAATCAGTAAATATTATACAACTATATTTATATCATATGTTTTGTAAAAATTTGAAGTTACTTTATATCCGTATAGATTTTTGAAGGTGTAACAGAAGATGAAAGCACAGATATAGCTGATACACCACTTACTACTGTACCTTCATTAGAAATTACTGAAGCAACATTAAAAAAGTTACTAGAGAGTCCACCAGCAATGGTAATAGTTCATATATTTATTTGATTATTTCTAAAATACATTTAATATAATCATGGACATTATCTTCTCCCAGGAAGCTTTAGAAATTGGATTGCATGTGGGCAGAGTAAAGAGGGCATTAAAAAAACGAATGGAGGAAATAGGAACACCATATACAAATTCTGATCAACTTATAGAAGATGTTCTTTGTGATCAAATTATGGAAGAATTAACAAGGTTAGTAACAAATAAAATTATTTGCTATATATCTGAGCCATCTCTTCTAGAATTAATTATTATGTTAAATCATAATGCTAAGGGAGCAAACCAGTAGTGGTATAGAACAGTGTAATACCGTTAAAAAAGATGAATATAGAGTATATTCAATTGAAGATGGGAATTCTGTAATACCCAATGACAAAAGCAATACTGACAAAAAGGCTAACTTTAAGGAATCTAGTAAGTAATAAAAATAAAAGATTGATCATAAAATCATTGACCTGAATTAAATTTGTATATAGCAAGTCTTAGTATATACTTAATTTAATGAAAAATACTGCCCACTTTTTTAGCAGCTTTGGAAGAAGAAAACAGAAAATTAAAAGAAGCTCGTTTATGTAAAATTTGCATGGATCGAGAAATAGCTATTGTATTTTTACCTTGTGGACACTTAGCAACTTGTGTTTACTGTGCACCATCTCTTACATATTGTCTAATGTGCCGACAAGAAATTAAAGCTACTGTCCGTACATTTCTATCATAAAACAGATAGTAAAATATTAATTGATAAATATATCGTTAAATTTATTTATGCAAATTTAATAATTTAAAACGTAAAGATATACATGTATAAAAATATATTTTTTGTATATTTCGTGAAAATAATGTATGTATATCATTGTATTTATAATTTAGTCACTAAAATAAGAGTATATATCAAAAAATAGTAAAAGAAACAAATTATGTACTAATACAGTATTTCTCAAATAGAAAATTGTGTTATTACGTCTAATGGTTTCAATAATTAATAAACATATAATATTAAATATTACAATGATAATACAGATAATGTTTACGTAAGTAAATAAAATTTTATATCTTCATATATAGTTGATATTAATTACAATTATGTAGTCTGAACGAAATGAATTTAATATTGTCTGTAGTATATTGGGTTGTGTTGCATTATGTTACCAGGTTGAATCGCATCGGAAAGTATTAAGATTTGGTTTACGAGGTTTGGATTAGTAGAAATACAGCAAATGTCAATAGTTACAAATTTTTTATTATTATCAGCGTTACTACAATGGTATGACAAAATTAATGCAGTATAAAACATATAAAAGTAATTTCATTTATACATTGAATATAGATCTATTATGTGCGTCCCCCACCAGTGTTACAAATAAAATACCTCGTTTTTAAAAAATAACATTAATCAGTAGATTTTCAATGTAATTTAAAACTGAGATAAGCTATCTTAGATTATTTAGTAATATAAATAGTCTTTGTTATTGATACATCACTAGTTGTTACTGTAAAACTGATGTTCTTAACTGTGTATTTCCGGATGCCAAGTACGTATATAAAACAATATCTTTAACATATTTCGTTATAATAATTCTATAACAGATAATATTATATTTCTGAAAACATTAAATTTGTATTACATATAAAAATGGTAAAAATACCAGAGAATACCAGAGAAATGCTGAAATGTAAATAAAAAAAAGTTTAAATCTGACGATATTTAAAAAAATAGATATATATACATATGTATTGATTTTATCAAATTGTCATTTTAAGAAATATTTCCAAGAAATTTACGCATTGGATTAATATGCAACTAAAAACATACATACAAAGAAAACATAGTAGATTGATCGGTGCTTTTTCTACGACCTTCATTATTATTATTACATTTTAGTTAAATCAAGTTGAGTGGGAACTATAGAGCTTAGGGAAAAACTTCATTGTTGTTTCCTAAGAACATTCGATATTAAAACATTTGATCATATATTTATATGTATCGTTTGAAACCTCTTCATTATGTTTTTTAGATATATGTATATTCTTTTACT